ATTATAAGATGCTACGTCGTGTTATGAGATGCTAAATCGTGGCCACGAGATGTTGAGTCGTGATTATAAGATGCTAAGTCGTGATTATAAGATGCTAAGTCGTGATACTGAGATGCTAAGTCGTGAGTGATTATGAGATGCTACGTCGTGATTATAAGATGCTACGTCGTGATTATGAGATGTTGTGTCGTGATTATGAGATGTGTCGTGATTATAAGATGCTAAGTCGTGATTATAAGATGCTAAGTCGTGATTATGAGAGGTTGTGTCGTGATTATAAGATGTTAAGTCGTGATTATGAGATGCTAAGTCGTGATTATGAGATGCTACGTCGTGATTATAAGATGCAACGTCGTGGCCACGAGATGTTGAGTCGTGATTATGAGATGCTAAGTCGTGATTATAAGATGTTAAGTCGTGATTATGAGATGCTACATCGTGTTATGAGATGCTAAGTCGTGATTATAAGATGCTAAGTCATGGCCACGAGATGAAAAAAAAACTATTCTGTATCATATGTCTTCTATGTTTTCGTGCATTACAGCAAAGAAGATTGACATTCTGGAGGATAAATAGGTTATTTGAATTCGATATTTACATAATCAGTCTCTGATATTAGTGTACTGGTGTCTTTAATCCCCCGACAGCCTCCGACTACTCCGACAGATCATTTTGAGACTTGATGTTCGAGAATTGAAGCTGTTCTTTTAAGGTAAAACGAAACGAAACAATAGATAAATCTTTTTTAAACATGACATTTTGTGACTATATCTGTAAGCTTTTTAGATAACAAATGATTAGCCATCAATCTGTAGAGAGGTTGAACGTCAATTTCCAAAATTACATGTGCGTTGAGATTATGTCGGAGACTGCATTTTCGACGTCCAAGTAACAGTACCATGTTTTTTCCAAAATTTCCATTTCAGAGACTGCATTTTCGACTTTCTGTTTTAAAATGCGAATTTTCAACTTGTCCTATGCTATCCCCCAAATATCTACCAAATATGTGTGTCATCCAGTGACCAGGAGATTGAGCAGACGACAGAATTCAATGAAATCTTTGGACTAAGATTCAAGAACACACTGCTGATAGTTTGAAGACTGCCATTCGGGATTATCTTGTCCATCATGATATAAGAATCATTCATAAAATAATTCAACATACCATGACGAATCGTCCAAAATTCTCTGTTGGTCGTAACCGTTCCAGAAACCTGACTGGATTCTCCATAAACCGGTGCTAAACAATAGCAATCCTGTCCTTGATAATAAATCTGATCCCAGTTGTAGAGAGTACAAGTACAAGTTGCTATACAGAGCGTTACATTAGACCTT